CCCCGGGAGCAGGCCTAAGCCCGCAGGTCCTTATCTCCTGAGGGTTCCCAGACTGCAAGAGGGCCCAGGCCGGGCTGGGGGGCCCCCCCCCCCCCCCCCAAGTGCACAAATTTTTATGCACCGGGCCTCTAGTAATTTAATAATTTTGATAGAATATCATTGTTCTATTCATGCTTCCCTCTCTGCTATGATCCCCTCCTATAATTACTGGGACATTTTTGTATAAATTCTTATAAAATGGTATTCTCTTCAATACCATTATTATTATGAAAGTAATATTGATTTTAATATGTAGTATGATTTGTCTTAAGAGACATTACTAAGTCATGCGGGATGGGAGAATGTGGCAAATGCTGTGCTTTCCTGTGCCCCAGCCATTGATTCTCTGTAGCAGTCCCTTAATCACTGTAACAATGAAATGCTTACACTTATTTCTGAAATATGACTCTACATGTATTTCCAAACACCCTAAAGGGAATGGTTCCATCACTATTGAGAATTCTAGAATAAACAAAGAGAAATGAAGGGACAGAGTGTATATCTTAGTTGGAGAAAATTCCCTTTTCTGCAACTATTTTCTTGTCAGAGAGAATGGGCAAATGAAAGGTAGTTAACAAAGAACATTAAATTGGTGATAGGAAGATTGTTTTTGAAATCTTTTATCCTAATTTTTGTTGTTTTGTTGTGTTTAGTTGTCCTGTTTCTTATCTGTAGATAATATGAAAATGTTAAAACTATTTTTAAATTTAACTTTGAAAACAGACTTGAAGTTGGTTTGGGGGAGGATTTGATATTTTAAATATAGAGATTGTTGACAATTAGTAGTAGTGTAAGGAGTGTGATAAAATGGTGAATTTTTCTAACATTTTTCTTACTCTTGTAATCACTCATTTTTAGTTGCATTTTATTCGTTTATATGTGCAGTGTTTCTTCCCCCCCTCCCTCCCCCCGGAATTATTATTTTCATTGCTTTATATTTAAAATAATTGTTTAGGGGACTTTTCTGTACCTCTAACAATACAAATGATTCATTAAGGGAAAGGGTAATACAATCCCAAACTGAGTTTCTTGCTCAATAACTAATCCCCTCAAAGTAAGCCTTCATTAGTCTTCCATCATTGAAATGCAGGCTCCCATTGCAGGAGAGATTGTGATTTCTGGCTTCTTTCCATTTCACAGAGCTCTGAGCGCTGAGCACTGCTGAAGCCTGAATAGTTAGGGATATTGTGCACTGATGTGATGCTTAGATTTTATATGTCATGGTAGTTATGTGATTTACATATAAATATGGTGAATAATCTATATTTGGCAAAGTTGAGACCAGGGTGATTTTTATCATTTTTGTCTTGGTGTATGTTTCTGCCTCTGAAAATATACCAGGCCTTTGAGATGAGAAGAGGAAAGTACGCTTTTTCATTTTTAAAGAAACTGTTTTCCTGAAATGCTATGAATAGCATTAAACTTGTAAATTTTGAAAAGTTGTCAGTGGCCCTTAAGAGAAATGATAAGGGCTATATCTCAGTATTCTATGTGCTTTTGAACTGATTATCATTCCTAAAGATAAAGCGAATAAATTCAATGGTAAGCAGATTGGCTGGCAAAATCATTTTTACTTAACTGCAATCTTTTTTTAAAATATATTTTTATTGATTTCATAGAGGAAGGAAGAGGGAGAGATAGAAACATCAGTGATGAGAGAGAATCTCCTGCATACCCCCTTCTGG